ACATGTTCTGGAACATTTTGTCACGCTATGTTACTATTATCTGGTGGTTTCTCATCAATTTATTGTGACTGTTGACATTAACATGACTGCTAAACATACTATTTGTGGAAAATAAAAAAAATAAATTCTGCACAATTTTGTCAATTTGTATTAAATACTACGCGGAGCTTTATACAAGCATTCTCTTGCACTAATTTTTCAGTACCCTGACTCATGTTACAACAAAGAAATTTCCTGTGGTTACAGTACTGAGTGAATACTGGAAAATTCGGTACCTTATTAACATTGATTTTGTCTGTTTTCACATCTCAATTTGAAACAGAACAAGTGTAAAATATGTAGCTACAAAGTAAATATTTAATATTACATTTTTTCATACTATAGCACTTAAATGTCCAGCTTTTGCTAGTAAAATCAAAATTCTGTTTACATTCTCATTAAGATCTGTACAAACTACATTAAAATACTAGCTTTAATGGTATAAATTCATGCAACTAAACTAGGAAATGCACAAAGATAGAATTCACACTTGTGCTACCTCATCTCCTTTTTTTAAGTTACGTGATTTCACAGTAACTTTTCTGCCTCTGCAAAAGTTTGGCAGGGGCCTCTCTTTTCCTCAGAATCTGGAGTGGCAGCTGCAAGACAGGAAAGTCCCTTTCTGAGTATTACTTTTGGTTAATTGCAAATGAGAAAAACACACCAAAAGGTGGAGTCCATGAGCTGCGTGATTCTGCCGCACTGCAGAATCAGCATTAAGCAATGCCCCTTTGACCTGAAAGCAATGAAAAGAAACAGTGGGAAAGGCGATGATGCTTTAAAAATACCTGGTCTAAAGAACTTGTCAGTTGTTTGTTTGTTTTTTTTTATTTAATGTTCAAACACTTAACACTGAAGGCTTATTTTAATAACCTGCATAACACTGATGTTATCTGAACTGTCCAGCAATTCACGTACCAAAAGGTAAGATCTGTTAGAGTTAGAAATATATCAGAGTGAAAAACGGAAAGGTTGTAAGCCAGTCATGTTGATTTTGAGGGTCTGCAGCAGATCAGTGGTCTCTGATTTACTGTTTGCTTTGTTTCTGTGGGTTTTTTTATGATATGACTGCATTGTGTGCTAGATTTTCCTGGATCTCCCCAGGTACAGAGCTGAACTGATTACTCAGATGTGGTTTTGATCGCTCC